CTAGAAGCTCAAGATAGCATTTTACGGATGGCGCCTGTGGCTCAAAAGAGTAGGACACTGGCCCCATGTGCCAGAGGTGGTGGGTTCAAACCCAGCCCTGGCCAAAAACTGCAGGACAAAAAAAAAAGAAGATAGCATTTTACTAGATAGCATCTTACTAGGTAAGAAAGCAGGAACTTTTTTTTTGTTTGTTTTGGCATTTTTTAAAAGAAACATTACAGATAAAGTTAAAACTGCCGTGTAACCTACCCAGAGTACTTTACTTTGTTTTTTGAAATAACCATGAACATGCATTTGTTGTTTTGTTATTCTAGTCTTGAATTTCTACGTTAACTAAATGTTTATAGACATTGTAATGTTCTGTATGTTTTTAAGGTTTATTTAGCATCTCACAGTTGTGCTTTGCTCAGGGTTTATATGTGTATAGTATAGACCAGCACTGTTCAGTAGAAACATAGGAAAGTCTACAAATGCAGAGCATTTACTAGTAATTTTTAATTTTCTAGTAGCCATAAATAGAAATAGGTAAAAATAATATACTTTAGTAACCCAGTATTTCTAAAATATTTCAACATATAGTCAATATAAAAGATTAATAAGACACTTGCATTCTTTTCTATACTAAGCCTTTGAAATCTGGTGTTTTGTACTTAACATCTTAATTTGGACTGGCCACACTGTAAGTAGCCACATGTAGTCTGGGCTTTTTATTTTATAGGAGTGAAAATTGAATAGCTGTAATTTAGAGAACCACTTTTGGTGCTTAAAAGTTGTATGTACTCCTACCACCAGGGGTCAGCCAAGTGTCATAACAGTGACAAACCAGAGTATTTTGTGTTTTCTAATCTACAACTGCAATGCAAACAAGGACCATTCTGTGTACAATAAAGGAAACTTCTGGCTAGATCAGCATGTACGCTGGTGAAATAAATAATGGAAGCAGAAAGGGTGACAGAAATGCAGTCCATGGCCTCTTGAGACATGTGCTTGCTATGTACAGATGTACCCTTTCTTCTCCATTCTTGTTTCTCTTGAATAACTGTTGAAACTTTTCCGCCTGTTACCATGGATGTCACATTTGCAGTAAATATATTTGAACCTTAATTTGGTAAACTTGTTGGCTGACTTGCTTATTTTTGCTAAGAATCACAAGAAGAAACTTTTTTTTTTTTTTGAGACAGAGTCTCACTGTGTTGCCCTCAGTGGAGTACCATTGCATCACAGCTCACAGCAACCTCAAACTACTGGGCTTAGGTGATTCTCTTGCCTCAGCCTCTCAAGTAGCTGAGACTGTAGGTGCCTGCCCCAATGCCTGGTTATTTTTTTGTTGTAGTTGTCATTGTTGTTTAGCAGGCCTGGGCCGGCTGTGTTCAGCCCTGTGTATGTGGCCGGTGCCCTAACCACTGAGCTTCTGGCTCAGCGCCTGTAGCTTCTTTGATTACTAAGTCACGCATTGCAGGCTTCTTTTTTCCAGCTTTTTGAAGTTTTAGCCTGGTTTAAAGTTATCCCCCAGTAAGCTCTTATTTCTTTTATTCTCCACGGAATGCCTTCAAAGAAATGCCCTAGAGGCTATACTTTAAGAATTCATTGCAGAAATTGCCAGTTAAGAGTGCTTTAGTTTCACATACATCATAATTAGGAGAAATTCCCACTATGCTTTTAGTATCCCTCAAATAAGGACCCAGTGAAGAAAGACTAGTTAAGAACAAAGATTTAGGGAAAAATTGCCTCCATTTCACCCATTCATTGGTTCTCGATCATTTTTTCAGTTTTAGAGAGTTTGTTTTAATGTGTCTCCTCTTTAATGTGTCTGCGCATTGAAATCCTTTTTGTCCTAATACAAATAATTTGTAGATCTCTACCAGTTTCTGCTCACGTTTAAGATAGGGCCTTGATACATTTTGCTTGATGGTAGCCTTCTAATAATTTTATACAAGGTGTTGCAAATATATGTTCTGCCATGTGGCGGCTGCTATGGTTCTGATTAGTTAGAAAGAATTTGTTAATAGTCGTCATAAAGTTCACTTGCCATAACCTACTAGAATAATTGTTGGTATCAGTATTAGCCCAACTCTCCCTTAAGGTTAGTATGATTTCTAATTTCTGCATGGTGACTTTTTATGTGAGTTATCATCCCTTCAGAAATGGATTGCTAGTGATTTGATTTTTTTATAAAGATTTAAATACTTTTATCATTTTGCATCTTCATTTATAAGTGAAATATGTTTGTAATTTCCCCTTTATAATATATTTTTTCCAATTTTAATATCAGGTGTATCCAGACTAAGTAGAATAATTTTGAAGTATTTCTTTTTCTATTGTTTATAAAATTTGGCATGATCTGTTTTTTTGAAATTATCTTTTACTTTTATTTATAAATATTAGTTGTCTATTTTTTTGAGACTTTGGAAAAAACAAAATAAGAAGAAGTTAACTGATCAAAGTATTCTGTAATAGACATACTTCTATCTGACAATGTGAATGTTTCTTTCTTTGCATTATTACTATTATTATTGCTTAATATTTTGTTACAGCAATCGTCTGATTTCTTTTCTGAATGTATTTCTCTTCATTCTTTATGAGGTTTTTGTTCTCAGTCCTTATGTTAAAATATTGTTATTGGCATTAAATTTAGCCTTTTTAATTCTATGAAGGCAAAAGTGTAAACCTAATATACACATGTATAAGTAAGAAAAAAAAAGATTTAAATACTGGCTGGATGCAGTGTTTTACACCTATAATTCTAGCACTCTGGGAGGCTGAGGTGGGTGGATTGCTTGAACTCATGAGTTCGAGACCAACCTGAGCAAAAAAGTGAGACCCTGGCTCTACTAAAAATAAAAGAACCGAGACAAGAGGATTGCTTGAACCCAAGTTGAAGTTTGTTGTGAGCTATGATGCCACAGCATTCTACCCAGGGCACCAGCTTAAGACTCTGTTTCAAAAAAAAAAAAAAAATTAAATACTGTATGAATTTAGTTATAAATCTTCTTATACACTGTTGTGTTACTTTGATTAGATATTTTTCGTTTTTAATTCTAAGCTGAGAACAGCCACTTGGGGAATGAGGATGGACATGTATGTTATGATTAGGCAGATGGGTACTGAGAAAACAAAGGTAATTCCAGAGAGAGAGGTTTCTGGTGGGTTAGAAGCCTGGGTGGGGTGCTATCATAACAGGTCCTTTATGCAAGGAATAGAACAGAGTCTTAGAGCTAGAACCATTTCAAATTCTAATATTAAAAATATGTATATTCTTGGCTGGGTGTGGTGGCTCATGCCTATAATTCTAGCACTGTGGAAGGTCGAGGCAGGAGGATTGCTTGTGAGACCAGTCTGAGCAAGAGTGAGACCCCCATCTCTACTAAAAAATAGTAAACTTAGCCAGCCCCAGTGGCAAGTGCCTATAGTCCCAGCTACTCAGGAGGCAGAGGCCAGGAGGATTGATTGTACCCAGGAGTTTGAGTTTGCTGGGAGCTAGGCTAAGGCTGTGGCTTTCTAGCCAAGGCAATAGAACAATACTGTTTCAAAAAAATAAAAAGAGATGTATATTCTTGTTAGGTAACAAATATAATAGGCCTGAACAAAGTGAAAGGATGAATCCATTCTCTTTTTATTAAAGCTAAAGGGTATACTTGAGTACACATACACACAAATTGTGTATAATCTGGAATGAGAAGAAAATGTTATATTTTAGCAAATACTTTTACATGTCTCCTTGGCATTAGTTTGCCCAGATCAAGTATCAGAGGGTGAGGATATCTTACTAATTGTAATAGGTGTATTTGTCAGAAAATTGTAGCAAGTTTCCTTTTATGCTTTATGCATGTATTTTTTTTTGTTATAAAATTCCAACAGTAAAACAAACTAGTCTTTGTTTTATACAAATACATGTTGCCTATATAGATATATAAGATTTAATGACCTTGAGCAAATTCCTATGTTACTATATTTATAGATTGAATTTTCAAAAGCCCCATAATGCTATTTCTTTTTCATTCTGAACTGGGATATGCAAAGGTTATCATCTGGGCTACTAATAAAATGCCCCATTCTTGTTGGGCGCACACCAAATTTAAAGACCATATAGTTTAAAGATAAAAAGAATTATAAGCGGGAGTAGATTTGGAAGTTGATTTGTGAACCATATTTAGGATATATTGCAGTGAAACTCCTTTTAAATTGCCAAGATGCCAGCTCAGTATATACATTTTCCTTTGGTTTCCTATAATAATACCGTTTTAGTTTCCTCAGAATTATATCGATTTGCCAGAATTCCTGAGAAAAGGTTTTGCTATGCTAAGGCTTTTTAGCAGTTTGAAAGCAGAATGGTGGATTTTACAGCAAAGGAAATGTGTGATGGTGACATAATACTAGTAAGTGGAAGAGATCCGTTTGGCTGTGAGCCTCTGGTCTAACATATTTGCCATCATGTATACTCAGAAGGCAAGTCCCTATTTTCTTCATGAAACTCTTCCCCCATCCAAATTCTTTTACCAACTTAAATATATAAGGTTTTAGAGATATAACTGACACATTAAATTCTACATATATTTAAGCTAGTTACATAAGACAGAGTGTTATACACAGAATTTAAAAATAAAGTTATATTTTGTTTTACTGTCTCACAAGATGAAGTGATTTTTTTTTTCAAACTCTTCATATTAGGACGCCTTTGGAATGATTTCTCTCTCTAAGTCAGTTGTTCAGGTGATGGCTACTGGGGATTTGAGTGATTTCATATGTCTTCAGATACAAGGTGACTCCTTTTTTCTGAAAAAATAATTTTGGGGGATAAAACCCTTACCTGATGTCTGAACATATATGATAATTCTTTATACCTCTTATTTTTGAAATCAGAACTGTATCTCAATTTTAAGAAGTCAGAATCTTAGTGAGCTTTTCTTATTGAATAATCGAGTAAGTTTTTAGTTGTTAATGTGGATTTTATCTTTTTTTTTCTTTGAGGGGTTGGACATAATTGCCTTATTTCATTTCAGGGATTCTTCTAAAGTAAATATTCTGGTACCTGGTGCTGGACTAGGAAGACTGGCCTGGGAAATAGCTATGCTAGGTTATGCTTGTCAAGGAAATGAATGGAGTTTTTTTATGCTCTTTTCTTCCAACTTTGTACTCAACAGGTATTTAATTTATTTTTTGCTGGAAATAGTAATTTCTCAGAATCAGATTGGGTTACCTATTTTCTTGAAAAATTCTGAATTTGAAGATAAGTATATAGTGTTTGATTATGCTATATGTCATAAATGTCTAAGTTAAAATCAAAGGGCTTATACAAATTACCCACTTTAATCAGTGGCCCAATCATCAGAATGTTAAAATAGGATGGATAAGTGATTTTTTTTTAGAACGTAATTGGGCATTCCATGAAACAAATGCTTTCTGTACAAAATCTTCCTAAGTATGATCGAGGGAGGAGGATTTTTTTTCATTATTCCTTAAACTTCTTCACCCCTTTGTTTCTTTGGTGGGACAAGAATTTAGTGTAGCAGTCATAACTATTTCCTTTATCAAGTTCTTATAAAATGGCCAACTATGCTCATCACATGACTGAGTTGGAAAGATCTCTGAACTTCTGTGGCCTCTTTTGGAAGGTAGTGTAGAAGAGTTATTTTTAAAGCCAGAAAACATACTAGAGAAAAATAAATGGCTTCCTTGTATAAGTAATATGTTGTGTTGGATAGCAGTATGAATTTTAGGAGGTTGGTGAGAGGAGAAAAAGAAGAGGGTTGTACAAAATAATTAAAATAACAAAACTGTTTTAGCTGGAACCAATACCTTTTTTAAAAAACTAGTGCAACAGTTTTACTCGAGTTGATATATATACATTTTACAATTTTTGAATGATCAGCAATTTATATCTCTGAATTTACCTTTTTTTTGTCTTTAATCCGTGATTTGTTGCTCATCTACATACACACACGCATATTTTCAGATAACTGGGTAGGGTGTAATAATGATACTTTGTAAGTATAAATGAATTATATATGCAAACTTTTAATCAAATAAAAATCTACTTTAGTGTTTAAAGTAGATTTTTTCTTGGCAAAACATTTAGTTAACACTGAATTTTATGTTTGTATTTTGCAGATGTTCTGAAATTAATAAATATAAACTTTACCCCTGGATCCATCAGTTTAGCAATAACCGAAGATCAGCTGATCAGATTCGACCCATCTTTTTCCCTGATGTTGACCCCCACAGTCTTCCTCCTGGTTCTAATTTTTCTATGACAGCAGGAGATTTTCAGGAAATTTATTCAGAATGCAGTAAGTCCAAAGCAAGCATTTTAAAGGTCTTGTCCTATGTTTTAAATTAATAAGCTAATTTTATCCTAAGCCAAAGTTTTGGTCATTCATTATGATAGTAGAAGATAAGGTATACTTCAGTGCTAATTGAGAATGTTCTCAAGGTCATGTACACGCAATAATAGAAGTATAAGATATCTACAGTCAAGAAATTTTGAATCTATTGAGTCTGCTAATGTAAGACAACATGTACACAAAGTTCAAATGAGTAATGAATGCAGTGAAGAGGAAGATATGTTAGTGTGAGAAGGGAACTCTTTATGGTGAGGCTATGATTTGAAGTACAGGAGGAATGGAATTACAGGCACAAAGATGCGAATGAATAAGGTAACTGGGGATGGTACACAGTTGGACTAGCAGGGAAAGAGAACACTTAAGGGAAGATTTAGTGCAGGGGTCCTCAGACTTTTTAAACAGGGGACCAGTTCATTGTCCCTCAGACCATTGGAGGGCCAGACTGCGGCCCCAGGACGAGTCGGCTGCTAATAAGCAGGACAGGTAGTGGTGGCAAAAACACCTGGCGTGCTGGATAAATGTCCTAGGTGGGCCGCATGTGGCCCGCAGGCCACAGTTTGAGGGTGCTTGATTTAGTGGGAGAAATGGCTAGAAAAGTGGGTTTGTTCCAAATTATGAAAGACCTTTATGATCAAGCTATTAAGATCAGGTGTCAGCCTGGCAAACTGGTAAAGAAATCTGAGTTAGTCACTAGAGAAAGGGAGACTGGCCGTAAAGGGAAGTAGAATGCTGAGGGGTCAGCAAGATCAGTCAGTCACCAGATATTTGTGAACTACCTACTAAGTACCAGGTGTGTTCTAGACATTTGAAAAAGACCAGTGAACAGAACAAAATCCTTGTCCACAGGGAACTTCTCTTCTAGTTGGGAGAGTGGGGACGGCACCTATGGCTCAAAGGAGTAGGGTGCTGGCCCCATATGCTGGAGATGGCAGGTTCAAACCTAGCCATGCCCCCCCCCAAAAAAAAAACTAGTTGGGAGAGTAAGGAAATAACAGTTATTGTGAGGAAGAAGGCGGCAGCAGGATCGGGGGATAGTGACTGCTGAGGGGCTGCTGCTGTACATGGAGTTGTCAGAGAAGCCTATCTGAAGAGCAGAAACTAAAAAGAAAAGTGCTAAGCAGAGAATCTCAAAGAGGCAAGCCATTTGGATATTTGGTGGGGGAAATGTTGCAGGTAGAGGGAATGGAAGAAGATTAGGGGTTAGAGAGGATGCTCGTTCTGCTCAAAAAAAAGCTGGGATGTAGTAAGCAGTGAGTCTAGTGGTGGCAGCCAGGAGAGGCAGACTTCTGGCCATCGCAAGACTTAAATTGTACTCTGGGGAAGACAGGAAGCCATTGATGGGCCCAGAGCTCGAAAGTAGTAACATAAAATGGCTTTTCTTTTTTAAGAACATAGAAGAAAGTTTTTGTTTTGTTTTTCTCTGAACTCTGAGATTGGAGTAACCTATTCTCCAAAGGTACAAAGGGAGAGGTAGAAGGGGTGAAATAATGGAAAATACCACTCAGGCAAGTAAAAGTCCTTTTCTTCTGGAGCAAAGTTTAAGAGAGCAAATGGTGAGAATAATTCCAGGTGGGATCAAGGTACAAGTTGCTGCATCAGCATTTGCACATAGACCACACCACCACACCTTCAGTTTGGTCTCCTTCTGTGCCAGACCAGAGCCCCAAGAGTCAAACAGGGTTCTCTACTGGGTTCCCACCCCCTGCTTCTGCCTGCTCCTGGCAACCCCTTTTTACCTGTCATACCCAAAGTCATGTGTCTATTTAGGTATTTTGATGTCATTAATTTCTCTGTTTGTAGCTAGTACCTACTGTCTTTCTAAAACCTACCCCACACCCCTGGTATATGGGGCTGGGGTCCTAGTCCTTGAGCCACAGTTGCTGCCCCATGAGGTTTTTTTTAAGATTTTTTTTTTCTTTTTTTTTTTTTTTTGAGACGGAGCCTCAAGCTATCCCCCTGGGTAGGGTGCCATGGCATCACGCTCACAGCAACCTCCAACTCCTGGGCTCAAGCGAGTCTCCTGCCTCCGCCTCCCAAGTAGCTGGGACCACAGGCGCCCGCCACAACGCCCGGCCATTTTTTGGTTGCAGCCATCATTGTTGTTTGGCGGGCCCGGGCTGGGGATTCGAACCCGCCACCTTAGGTGTACGTGGCTGGCGCCTTAGCCGCTTGAGCCATAGGCGCCGAGCCTTTTTTTTTCTTTTTTGAGACAGAGTCTCACTTTGTCACCCTTGGTAGAGTGCTATGGTGTCATAGCTCACAGCAACCTCCAACTCTTGGGCTCAAACAATTCTCTTGCCTCAGGCTCCCTAGTAGCTGGGACTATAGGCACCCATCACAATGCCTGCCTGTTTTTAGAGGCGGGGTCTTGCTCTTGCTGAGGCTGATCTCCAATTTATGAGCTCAGGCAGTCCACCCACCTCCGCCTCCCAGGTGCTGGGATTACAGGCCGTGAGGTGAGCCACTTCGCTCAGCCTACCGTTATGAATTACAAAGTATCTCTCATAAGTGATTATTTGGTTTCTTGATTAGCAGAGTTTAGCTTCATTATCTCCGCAGTTAAATGAAATATTAATACTCTGTAAGAGGTAACTGGCAAGTTTAAAGGGTAAAGTAAAAGAAAAAGCAACATAACCTAACTGATGCAGTAATTTTATTTTCTTTGATTAGATACCTGGGACTGTATTGCCACCTGCTTTTTCATAGACACAGCTCACAATGTAATTGATTATATTGATACAATATGGAAAATACTCAAGCCAGGTGGAATTTGGATAAATCTAGGTAAGTTCTTCAGCATATATTAAATTTTACACATTAATCTGGGTACTTACAGCTATTTTACATTTGGTAGCTTCACACTACCAAATGTTCATAAATGTTATACATGTTTTAAAACCTCTAGCAGGGTGTCTAACCTGATTATGTAAGGACTGTTTTGCTTGTCTGTGCTGTTGGATATCACAAAATTTATGCACAGACCTTTTCTTGCTCATCAGCTTTCATTAGTATTTGTGTGTTTAATATATGGCTCAAAACAACTCTTTTTCCAACATGCAGCAGAGAAGGAAAAAGGCTGTCCTTTAGACTGCATACTAATAGCGATGCCTCCAAAGGCAATGGAAGCTGAAAAGTTGTATATTCACCCTTAGGTCATTCTTACAATAGTCATAGTTCCACTGCATACAAATTATTGATCTGATGGTAGATAATCATTCCCTCATCATCCCTATATCCAACTCCATTGAGATGGAAGTCCATTCTGTTTAAGAAAAGGGTTTTCTTTTTTTCTTTCTACTATAATAAAACATTTGGGGGAGGTCAGGTATGGTAGCTCACACCTGTAATCGTAGTATTTTGGGAGGCTGAGGCAGATAGATTGCTTGAGCTCAGGAGTTCAAAATCAGCCTGACCAAGAGCAAGACCTCGTGTCTAGTAAAATAGAAAAACTAGACAAGCTTTGTGGCAGGGGCCTGTAGTCCCAGCTACTTGGAAGGCTGAGACAAGAGGATTGCTCAAGCCAAGAGTTTGAGGTTACCGTGAGCTGTGATGCCACAGCACTCTACTCAGGGCAATTGTGTAAGACTGTGTCTCAAAAACAAATAAATAAAACAAAACATTTGGAGGAATGATTTTACTTCTCCATGGAATCTTCCTCCCCAGCACATCCATGTACTGGGAAAAGAGTAGGTGTGGTAATGTTTTTGATTAGATTTTTTTTTTTTTTGAGACAATTCCTCAAGCTGTCCCCCTGGGTAGAGTGCTGTGGCATCACAGCTCACAGCAACCTCCAACTCCTGGGCTCAAGCGAGTCTCCTGCCTCAGCCTCCCAAGTAGCTGGGACTACAGGCGCCCGCCACAACACCCGGCTGTTTTTTGGTTGCAGTTGTCATTGTTTTGGCAGCCTGGGCTGGATTCGAACCCGCCACCTTAGGTGTATGTGGGTGGCACCTTAGCCACTTGAGCCACAGGCACCAAGCTGGTTAGATTGAGTTTAAAAACAGGAATATAATTTTCATTTATACAAAACAACTTTTCTACTGCATTCTACTGCTCTATGCTAGAAATTAAATGATGAATACAACATGGTCCCTCCTGTCCAGAGTCTAAAGAAAATTGCTACTTTTTTCATCCTGAAAATAAAAGGGAGTATGATGACAATATTAAGGTAAATATACATGTCTTTTTATTACAATATATAATGTAGTTCAGAAAACATCAAAGCTAGAGAATAAAGGTTTTTCAAGATGGGGGTCATGGGTGGTGCCTGTGGCTCAAAGGAGTAGGGTGCCAGCCCCATATGCCAGAGGTGGCGGGTTCAAACCCATACCCAGCCAAAAACTGAAAAAACAAAAAAAGATGGGGGTCATTTTACCGCATTAAAAGGACAGATAGGCACTATTTTCAGCCCTTGGCCTTCAGGGTGGGTCTAGTTTGATGGATGAATTCTGTCATACTATTTTTTTTTTTTTTTTTGAGACACAGTCTCACTCTGTCACCCTGGGTATAGTGCTGTGGCATCATAGCTCACAGCAACCCCAAACTCTTAGGCTCAAGTGACCCTCTTGCCTCAACCTCCCAGGTAGCTGGGACTACAAGTGTCCACCACAATGCCCAGCTAATTTTTCTTATTTTTAGTACAGATAGGGTCTCACTCTTGATCAGGCTGGTCTAACTCCTAAGTTCAAGCAGTCCACTTGCCTCGGCCTCCCAAAGTGCTAGAATTACAGACATGGGCCACTGCCCGGCCTGCCTACTCTCTCTTTAATGATTTTATTTTATCAGAAATTTTGCTATTAGGACAAAGCCTTAGAGGTAGTAGTAAGTCTTTTCCAAAGTTCACTTTAGAACCAGTTGAGAGCAGCTATAAAATATATTGACAAGTAAGAAATAAATATCCCAAACGTTACGTCTTTATAAAAAGTAGTTACTTTGGGAAATTTTTCCCAAGGAATGATTGGAGAATATTACCTATTGGTATTTATTCACTGTGGGTTAAGTACTGTGTTGGTCCCTTATAAATACCTTATTTAATTTGAAAGCAACTCAGTGTTGAAATAGCACTATTTTATAGTTGAAGAAACTGAGTCTTGGGTTAAATAATTTGTAGAGAGGTCTGTAGTTTATCTGTGGTAAGAGACAGGTTTGTGGGCCAGAGCCAACCCCTTGAATACCCATGGTTAATTTATAAATAGCATGAACATGATCTGTATTTATATGATTAAAGTTTTTAACCCTGTTGACTGAGTTATGATAAGGTCTTGTGTATTTCCAAAGCACTTGCCTTGACTTTCATAGAAACAACTTTTGTTGAATATTTGTTTTGTTGGTTTATTAAGCTGTGAATACAGTAGTTACAGTACAAGTAACAGCCTACAACAAATAAAATTGTATTTATAGTAGTTACAGTACAATAACAGCCTACAACAAAAAAAACTGGCCCCTGGTAAGCATACTGTTTTATTAAGAGTAGATGTTATATAGCATGGCCTGTGATCGTCAGGGGCATCAGAAATAACAAAGCACATTGGCTAATGGGAAGTCAGGAGAGCTTCCATGCTTCTTACTATGGAGCTGCGTTTCAGACCAATTTGGAGAATTGGAATAATGGAGAAACATAGTCCTTCAAAATAGTTAATGCTTTACAAATAAAATCCTTAAAAATGTAGAAGCATAATACTCAGAATAAATTTAATCTTAAATATTGATGTGTTGAAGTATTGTCTAATCAGTCTTTTCTGCTTTTTATGCCACATACTTTTTATTGTTTTCTTCCTACCTAATCTCATGGCTTTTCCTACTCTTTGAATTCCCAGTCTGTGTCTCTAGTCCAGATATCTCTCTTATGTTCCAAGTAGGTATGTCCAACTACATGTCAAAATCTGTGTCTCAAGAAAATGATGTCCCTACCTCTGGATACCTTTTCTGTTCCGTATCTACTCAAATTTCCTCAACCAAAAAACTGAGAGCTCTTTGTTACCCCTTTTGTTAGCTTGGGCTGCTATAATGATGCCACAGATTGGGTGGCATAAACAACAGAATTGCATTTTCCATAGTTCTTAAAGAACTATGAACTCCCTAGAGTTCAAGAATAAGGTTCCTGCCAGGTTGTTACCTGGTGAGGGCTTTCCCCTGAATTGAAAGTAGCCACCTTCTTGCTCTTGGGGAGGAGGAGGGAGTGAGAACATGAGTGAGCTCTCTGGTATCTCTATTTTGTTGCTTGTTTTGAGATAGTTTCCCTCTGTCACCCAGGCAGGGCATGATCCTATCTCACTGCAGGCTCAAACTCCCAGCAGTCCTCTTGCCTCAGCCTCCTAGGTAACTGAGACTACAGGCATACTATCACACCTAGCTGATTTTTCTAATTTTGTACATCTGGGCTCTCATTTTATTTTTGAGGCTGGTCTTAAACTCCTGGCCTCAAGTGATCTTCCTACCTGGACCTCCCAAAATGCTAAGATTACAGGTTGGAGCCACCACCCCAGCCTGGTATCTCTTCTTACAGGAATGATAATAGTACTGGGTAAGGACCATACCTGTATGACTTTTAATTACTTCCTTAGAGGACCTACTTCCAAATATAGCCACACTGAGGGTTAAGGTGTCAACATATGAATTTGGGGCAGGAGAGGAGACGCAGACATTCAGTCTAGTTCATAATAACTCTTTGTCCTCACCATCTGCATCTAGTCAGCCTAAAAGTTGTATCAAGTAAAGCTCCTTAATAGCTCTTGAGTCTCTTCCTATTTGTGGGTTTTCAATCTTGGCACTGTCGACATTTCATGTTGGATCGCTCTTCAGTGTGAGGAGAGCTGTCCTGTACATTACAGGATGCTTAACATTATCCCTGGCCTCTGCCTACTAGATTCCAATAGTTCCTTCCAGTTTTGGCAACCAGATGTCTATAGTCATTGGAAAATGCCCTTGGTGGGAGAAAAATCAGCCCCCTGTTGAAGACCATTGCTTTAACTGCATTATTGCTTGCCTGGTTTAGGATTACTATAGTAGTTTAAGGATGTCCTTGCCTTCAGGTTGTCTTAAACCCTCTGTGCCCCTTTCAGTTCTCTGTATTATCACCAGAGTGATCTTCCCAATACAAATCTATTCCTGTCAAACTCACTGCACATAATTCTAGCTTTCTTGATAAGCTGTACTCTTTCTTTTTTTTTTTTTGAGACAGGAGCCTCAAGCTGTCCCCCTGGGTAGAGTGCTGTAGCATCTCAGCTCACAGCAACCTCC